AATTTGTTTCAGGCTTTAGGGAATAACGGTGTAAATCACACAAGAAAGCGCTGTCGTGTAGATGGAGGCAAAAGCTGTTAAAGACTCAGATTCTTTTGTGGATGTCTCTAGTTAATTCTGGTATAGTAGCCTTTACTTAAACGTTTTTGGTTTAATTGCAGCTTTTTGATGTCAGCATTTCACAACGGTCTCTTACGGACAATGAAGGCAAACTACACAGTCCTGTAAGTTTTTTTTATTATATTGGATACAATAAAGAGTGTCTATTTTGGGTTGGAGCTAAAATCGTCTTCGTTCGTAGCGAATTCTCTCTTCAGGTATAGGTAAGCATTTGTTTCCATCTCAATGGTCACTCAAGTGCGTACTTTTGTTACATTTTTTAACTCGTATTACGTAAGAAAAACCCCAACTATGCATCGCTTTCATTTGAACAATTTCTTTCTTTTCAGGGAAGGCGATTTAAGAGTTATTAGACCTCTTGTACATGTTCGTGAGAAGGAGCTTCGAAATTTTGCTGAAAAGGTGAGCGAACATGTTCTAAAATTCGCTTTCAGTGGTATTACTAAGGAAGGTCCTTTCTACCAACGCCTTTATCTGACCGAAACGGTGTGCTGTAACAATTTGCCTCTTTTTGCCCGATGATTGGTCAAGAAAACTCACGCCAATCTTTTAACCACTGAGATAGAAAACCGACAAAACTCGCGCTTTGGTTGTTCGCGTTTTCCCGCGCTTCAGGAAGCTTTGAGTTGTTATTGGCCCTTCGATATGATTGGATGTTGTGATTACTTCGATTTTGGCTTTGCGACACTCAATCGAAACATACACAAGGTTTTTATATATTTATATATTATTTAAGTTTCTAATTGAGAGAACAACTTTTCTTTACTTCATGTTTTTCCATTACAGGTAAAATTACCAGTGATTGCGGAGAACTGTCCTGCTTGTTTCGAATCACCAAAGGTATGGACATGTTCCTTTTCTTTCCATTCTTTTGTTTGAGTTTGTGATTCAACCTCTCGGTTTGTTGTTTTACACAGGAGCGCCATAGAACAAAGCAGTTACTGGCTGCTCAGGAAATATTATTCCCAGGTCTCTATCACAGCCTGCTCACGGCCATGAAGCCATTAATGGCTCGCTATCGAGTGGGCCAGGAGTCTAGCAAAATGAAAGAGGGAAACTATGAGGACTTTCTATGACACGAGAAAATGGGACCTGTGCAGCGAGAGATTCTTTACCGTAGAAGTTGTTCATCTGATTGACTGAGAGGACGACGTGCGTTTTACTTGACCAATCACCGAGCGTTCTATAATATTGAGTATTTACCCAATTTTTTTTTCAAAAGTCCAAATCACAATTAAGACTCCTAAGACAGGTGGAATGTTTCAGTTATTTGATTTAAATGTCGCAAATAAATAAAGCATCACAAACATTGCTCAAAATCAAAATGAAATACTGGTTGTCTGAGTTCCTCGCCTTAGTTAAAATAAAATGGAGCGGAAAGCTGAGATGTGCCTAGAAAAAGCTTGTAATTGTTTTTGATTCAATTCGTCAAAAAACTGGCCATTGTTATAACTGGTGTTAATAAAGATGATGTCGATGCGTGAAGCTGCCCTTACTATACGCATCTTGTCCAAAATCTATTCGCGGTGTTTCAAATGCCGAAGTTACCGAGTTCCTTTCTTGTCTTCTCTCGCACTAGAAAGTCACGGCAAAGCCGCCTGAAAACAGTTAATACTTTTTGCCAAGTATCGCTGGAGTCTTCTCATAGTCGTACACATATTCCCAGTGGGGGTGGTTGTGGGGATGTGCACCCCCTTCAGGGTCCCCTGCGTTCAGCTTCAATTTCTCTTCCAAGGCTAGCTGTACCTCTTCTACCGGGGGCTCTGGGAAGCACTGTTCATAACGGTCCGGGTCCTTCACAGTGCAGCATGTCCGACAGGTAGAGCATTCTGAGGCTTTGGGCCTCCTTCTGTGGTCATGTACGTGTGCGTAGTTTGCTGTTAGTACGAACATCATGTGGAACTATAATAAAGACAAAACTCGTGAGAGACGCACGCCAATGGAAGGAGTTTAACATGGAAGAAACGCACGAAGTGCACGTCGTGTGGCTTTCATAAACCAACTTCACTCCTGTAACATGTCTCAATTTTGTCACCACAACTACATCCTACAAAGTTACCTTTCACATATCCTTTTTATATTTTTTTCAATGTCCCACGCACGTGACATGACGAGAAAAACAACCTCGCTTTTTTATTACTGATCTCAAAGTCTACCATAGTTCTCACAATGTCTCACGCGACGCTTCCTATAACTGGTCATGGCGGTACGAAAGGCGAATATCACATCTAAACCTAAAAGTGGCCTAGCTCACAGTAGAGTTCTCTAAGGCTCAGAACTATGGGGATTTCGATCGATTTCTCTTTGTCCCAAGCTGGTGACAAGACGAACCTCTACTCGATAAGTTTGAGTATTCTCATTCCTATTTGCTGGACAATGTATGGATATTGTTGGGAGAAGTTACATGTTAATCCCTTCTGGGAGTTCAATGGCTAAAGAAAAGGTGCTCATTCACTTACCACGCCGACAACTATAAAGAGGCCTCCAACAAATGCAGCAGCGAAAAAAGGTGTGGCACCCGTCATCTGTAGAGTAAACAAACGAGAAAACAAGTAAACAACAAGCTAAGAACTTGACTACATAAAAGAGAAGAACTTACCGCTTCACAGAACACAAGCAAGTCATCACCGCACACTTCCTCTGTACTAACAAGGTCATCCAAACCTGTTATAAGCAGTACGGAGAAAATTGTAAGCCAGCGTCTTTATGATTAGGTACTATGATCAGCCCCTTTTTAATTTTCACACTACTTTCATTTATTACACTCTTGAGTTTCAGTTAAATTTACGAACAGTACGCGGCTCGTTAGTGTACATCGATAATAAAGCATTTTTATAAAGCGCATTATCCATACTACTCTATGCCCTGATGCACTTAACAACCGTGACTTTGCGGAAGACCCTGATCACTCTACATTGAACAGTTTATATAATATTGGAAGGAAATTCTGCAGGTATTCCCAATTTTGGAAATTTTGGAAAGAAGGCAGGACCACAATATCGAGAGCTACGTGCGTATTCCAACGAAAATCCTGAACTTCAATGTCCATCAGTGTCCTCTGAGCAGTTGGAAGGCTACAGTTAAGGTGGGAGGGGGGAGGAGGAGGCTTGTGGCCCTACAATCTAAATGACCCATCTGGTCCTCAAGACACTAAAAATTCACGATAATAAAACAACATTACCATTCCTCCAAAAGGATAGGAATAAACTGAAGTAAGCTCCCTCCCCCCCTGAAAAAGACACCTATTCTAAAGTTTAAGTAGCTGGTCACTAACCATAATCACTGAATTTTATACATGTCTTCCCAAGTTGCTTCACAACCTTTACTTGACAAACACCAAAGAAGATTCCCATAAAGATGACTGGGATGATTAGCAGAGGAGCTATGAACATCCACAGGAAAAACATGAAGTAGTGCCAACCAAATAACTACAGAAAAAAAGGCAAATAATGATTTGTCGGTTATATGATTCGTTCGTTATGCCCCTAAAGAAATAGGAAGGCAAAAGACCTGAGTCCAGTATCCCGCGGATAAGTTTTGACATAGCGTACTGTACTACCCACTGAGAAGAGATTTATCCAGTACATAGGGTTATCCACCCGGCCTTGACCGGGGACTGGAACCGAGGCGGGAATGTTCATGCGTGTTTGCACTGTTGACTCTAAATGTGTTTCTTCTACAAATGGAAACGACAAAATCATCTATTTCCAATCTCTTGTTTCTTTTGTGTAATTTTTACCCTTTTGTGTTTGAATTCCCAGATTATTTATCCTATACTCACAAATCCAATACAACACCGAGCTACAAAGCGTCTTTTCCAACCGCCACAGCAGTTAAATCTCGTCCGTCCCGTGGCGGCAAATCCATGAAGCAGCGCCATCCCTGATAAAGAGCCCAGAAATATTCCAAACGCCATAATTCCCAATGAAGCCAGTTCGCTGAAAAATTAAAGACCAAAGGAAATTCGTTTAATATTAGCTTGAAGTGTACTCCTCTAAAAGGGGATCCTTGAGAGATGCGCTTTGCATATGCTTCCTTGGTTCCGTTTCCTTCGTGGTTTCGTCTGCTGTTTTATCCTTGACATTTTTCAAATTCGTAAGGATCTTTGTTTCTCTTGACTCACGAAATTAAAGGAAGTGTTACTTAGTGCTAAGATTTAAGATGAAAGGTCAGTTATTGTGCATTTTGCTTTTGATAAGGACACTTAGACTTAAATATTGTTACGTCTGTTATTCCTCCTTTTAAGAGAAGCTTTATCAACACAGTAGTCAAATGTCTGCGCATGTACGACGTTGTAGTGGCTAAGTAACGTGCTTTCAGACGGCCAGAACCAAGTTGTCTCAGACTAATTGCAAACAAATCAAGTTTCTTTCATTTATTTTTCGAGACAGCGATTGTTTCTTTTGTTTTACTTTGAAATGTTGCGCGGGAAATGGCGAGCGTTCCCATGGTCGTTTCATATACATTGAACAGCTAAGTATGTGAGTTACTCTTGTGAGCATGCTTCATCTAACTATTATCACTTACACAATATCCATTTTAAGCCATTTGTTAAGATTGTTGACGCCTTCGCTGAGTCCCACAGCAAACCCAGTAAAACCAATGGCCAGGATAAAAGAAGCGATCAGAGATGCCACAGGGACACGCGACAGGCAGATACAGCAACATTTGTTACACGAGGTACAACACGCTGAGGATTCAGATAAAATAATAATGAATTAAGAAAATCACTTGCGTTGCCTGCGAACAGGTTCCCCTTCGTGGAAGGATAAAGGGAAAAAAAGAAATGGCTCGCGCGTCTTAACGCCCATTGACACTAAGTTACAACGCCTAGAAGGCAAAGTACACGTCTCGTCCGAGAATTTTAACAATTTTTTTTATTATTAAGCAATAACCAACGAGCACCTCTAAGATTTTCATTGTTTGTACTTTAACCTGGGTAAGAGCAGGATTCAAGCCTGGTGTTGGCCTGCTTTTGTGCTAGTGTTACTTCCATAATGGTCACTTACCTCTTTAAAGCTTGATCAGATAAGTAAAATGTACTTTGAAAGAAGACTCATTTTGGAAGAAAAAGCACTTGAAAAGTAGTTTAATCGAAGTACTTCGCTGTCATCATTTGATAACGTACTGTTTATTTCATAGTATTATTTATTTATTTCTGTGCCGATTAAAACGACGCCATCGCAGTTTTTCATGGCGAACAAATTACCCGCAAGAAAATTTCGTCTTTCAACCCATCCGATTCTGCTACCAACTTTGCTTATGAATTAACAGCATGCGCAGAAAGAATATAATTTAAACATTCTTGTAAAAACGTATGGACGTAAGGGCGTAGTATGCCAGTTAATAATTTCAACTGGACTAATATTCTATGTCATGGATTAAAACTTCTCTCGTCGAGTTGAGAGCTCTGGTCTGTTTCACAAAATGAGCTCTGGTTTTCAAAGCCTCTGTAAGAAACTAGCGTTGTAATGTGTTTATGACTGGGATAACGTATTGTTTACGAGTACTATATGCGAATATGATAAAACTTAAGAAAAATGCGACAGGCGCATCAAATAACCGCTTACTTTTCAGTTCAAGTTTTTTTGTACGAAAAAAAAGGTAAGAACTGAAAGGCGTTCTGCTGGAATGTTAACGAGAGCATGTAGATAAAATGGGTTCTAAATTTTTCTCTAGTTTACTCAGGCGTTGGTAACAATTTATACGAAAAACTAACAGGTATCACAATCAACGTTGCAGGTACCTTTGGATAGAAGGACGCTTAAGGCTAACAACGTGCGCAAAAAATTACTGAGTCAGTACTAAGTAATGGCTAAAATAAGAATACTGCTTATGAGAACTGTACTCAATGAGACTATGCCTTTCGCATTAGTATCGTTGAGCACGGAAGGTAAAATGAAAAATACAATCCTCACCTCTGCATTTTCGGCAATAAAGTAAATGACTTTTCTGCAGCCCGCCTCTGTTCGCCAAAATTCGAACAACAAACCTCTTAAAAGCCAACCACAGCTTCCCGCAGCACATTGCTATGTTATTTGCAAAGACTACATGTAATAAAAATTGCTTTAGCAGATTCGTGTTCGCTTGCAAGAGGGATGAAAATGTTTCAGCCCCTGGTCTGGCGAGAGGAACCTGGAAAGCACCTGTTAACGAACGCTTGATTGTTACCTGTCAATCAAACCTCACTGATGGCGTCATGGTTATGTTTGGGTATGTAAAAATTGCATCGAGCTGGTCATTTTATGGCAGTTCAGCATCGGTAAAACCGGTTTTGAACCAAGTTAATGCGAATTTAATGTAAATTATTTGCGTTTTTTATGAAAAGGAGATTTTTGAGGTCTTTTCTGTCGTGGATCTTTTTCAGGGTTAGAGAAAAAGTTTGCAATAATTAGTCGTAGTTAGCCACAGATAAATTTTTCCTTCCCGAGTTTCAAGCAAAAGCAACCCCATAAAATTCACCCAAAAATGCATCTTAAGAATCAAGCCCAAATGCCATGGTAATAAATAAATAATTTATGTAACTAACAGAGAAAGCTGTTAACTGTTGTGCTCAGTCTTCAAGTAGAGAAAAACAAAATTAAACCTTTTTTTTTTCACGAGCGTGAGACAAAGAAAAAATGTTAGACCCAAATAAAGAATCGAGCTCCGGACCTTCTATTTTTTTTCGCTGATACACGGTCTTGTTCAACATCAAGTTATATGTGCCGAAAGAATAATTTTTTTCTGTCTCATTTCACGACTTCGCCTATAAATTCAGTTATTCGTTTACCATTTGGAAATGTTATAACTTTTGTATTCATGATCTGTCTAAAAAATTTGTGACGACTGATCGTAATTAAAAGCTATAAATTCATTTGATTTATTGGCTTTAAAATTTCGTCTGGTTCCATGTAGTAATAACGCCAACGTAATGAAATTCAAAGGTACTACGATTGTTTTGTAAAAACAGCTTATACCGCTCCTCTCGATGGCTTCTTAGTTCGATTGTTCATGCGTGTAATTTATGCGTAATATACGCCAGTTAAGCAGATATGAGGTTGTTAATTATTCATAACCGATACCAACACTGTTCGAAGCGACAAGGCACTAAACTTGTCGTTCTCTTGTTAGAAAAAAAACCAGCCTACCTTTCGTGTTCAACTTTTCAACTTTGGTGAAATCCACAAGAACTTGAAAAGATTCGTAAATAACATCAAATTATTCTGGCTGTGACCTTCTAAATCTCGCCCAATTTTCGATATCATTTCCATCACTGGATATAATATAATTGCACAATACATCTAGGCCTCGTTGCAGTTTGAATAAATTTGCGAAAACTTATGATTTAGGTAAAATTGTTCATCAGAGAAAATCGTAACCCAACGAAATCTTGTTTCAAGTAATAATACCGTCAAAATGGCCGTGACAAAAAGTTTAAATATAATACTTTTAATTTCACGTACTATGTAATTCCCATATGGTCTAGCGGTTAGGATTCCTGGCTTTCACCCAGGCGGCCCGGGTTCGACTCCCGGTATGGGAAGAGCTGAAAATTTTTTCGTTCTTCGTCATCCATTCCCCTTTTTTTTTTTTTTTTCATTAGTTTTGGATCGAATGCAAAACGGAAAGCAAAATTTTAGGGTCAGAATGCCACAGCTCTTTCCAACTCTTCGTATTTGTTTGATATATCCTCTATTACGCATGAAGAAAAAGAAGAAAAATCAAATCACTGAAAGAAAAAGTTATGAACACCTTCAAAATACCATTAGTAATTACTTTTAGTGGGTAAAATGCTAGTGAGAAGTCAAGTTTAGGCAGGTAAGCTTTTGGTGTGACGTGTGGTTGACTGTTCGACGTAATAAGGCGAACTTTACATGTAGTGTCAGATTTGAATAAAAAAGAGGTTATTTCGTTGAACTCGTTGCCTCACAATTTACCAAAATCTAACCAAATGCTCCCTGTCATATTAAGGTCAATATTTCTTAACAAAAATTAAACCGAATGTGATCCTAGTCTTCCGAGTACATTGTAGTGCGTAAAACTAATTCTGAACTAACAGACTGCCGTCGATTTGCAGACTTTGAAGTCAATACTGTTATGTTATAATTACCTATTTCCCTGATTCCTGAAAAACACAGAAATTCGGAAAATAAAAATCACCTTATAAGTTGAAATCCTCTCCTTTTGTGGCTATGAGGTTTATTCAAAGTGACTCTGCATCAGCGACATGAGCACTTGCTGGAACACTTTCGAATATGTGGCCATCGATTGTTTTACTGCATGGTCCTTTGGAAACATTCGGTTACGTAAAACAGCCGACAAAAGAGCCCATTGGGACATTTGAAGTCTCTTGAAACATCAACCGAAAAATCTATAATCCTGATAAGTACTATCACAAGCGAACAAACTTACATACGAGAGAAATCGACTCTGGAAACATCTTCCTCGCGCAATAACGCTGCCTATGGTACTGCGGGCGCGCTCACATCGTGCTCGTTAGGTTGGAAAGGCTGTCTCTTAACATCGACAGCAAATGGTTAATACACATATCTTACAAGCGGCTTTCATAGAACACAAATTTCCGAGTTCACTGGGAGACGAAGGTAAAATATTCTTGTCTCTGTTTTAAGAAGAAAACAGATGCGATGGTCTTGTCAAGTAGCCGGTGTTGGTAAGAAGCCAATGTTCTATGATTCCTCGTTGGAAAACGCAAAAAAAAAAAAAAAAAGGAAAAGAAAAGAAAAAAAGTTAGAACGTTTTTAAAGCTCTTGTTTCCGCAACTTCGCCCGTAGTTGATCAAGGAATCCGTCATCTTTGGGTTCATTCACTGATCAGGGATTTTAGGATTATAGCGATGAATGTCAAGCATGCGGTTGTTTCTTGTTTATCTCGCCCCTCCCATTAAGCGACCACTAATCCAGGGTTGGCTGAACAAGGGAAGATGATTAGTTGGAACGAGTGACCTCGTTACAACGTAATCCTTATGCTCTTAAGAACGGCCCTCTTCTTCTGATACAACAACTGAAAGAGACATCTGTTCCTATCAAACAGTCTTTATCATATCCCCCCAAAAAATTTTGCAGTAGGAGATGACAAGAGTGTATGCTGAGCTATCGATTGGCAGATCTCTGTCGGGAGTCTAAATACGAAGCATCTGAATCGATTAAACAAAAGAATCATTTCTCATGTTTTCTTCGGGAAATATGTTTGCTGATCGATTAAAATTCCCATTATTAAAGAAAATACGCATTTTGCAAAGTAAAATTCAATTCTTCCATTTATATGATCCAAATGAAAACAAAAATATGATTAAATATTTCTTCGCTGACAATAAAAGCTACTATCCAAATTTAGACGACTCCAGCAAATCTAACTTTGGATTGAGATCTGGAAGAGCAGAGAATTCTGTCGTTACAATGAAAATAATTGTCCAAGGAACCCTTGGGGTTTTGTTCCCTGCAACAGCAATGATCGTATAAATGTTATGGTGATTCAGAAAATGTTATTTCAAAACAAACTTTATTTTTCTCCGGTAACCAATCATAAATATCCTTCCAGTTCTTTCTCGCTTGCGAAGCTCTTCCCGTGAATGAACATAATATAATTTATTAACTACTCTCAAGACGATATAATAAAATAACTTAAGGATTTATAACCAGCAGGTTACCTACTGATTCCTTAGATTTTGAATTCTAGACCAATTTTGTCATCTTATTCTTCTGTCGAACTGTACAAGCAAATAGCAATATTTTCCCCCGAAACATACTATGACGCTAATCCTAGGAAATTAAGTTGAATTCTTTTCTGAAAATTTAAACTGTCTTTAAGGACTAAATGTCATAGGAAATTGTTTACTTCCCACTAGTGAGACTCGCCGATGGCGAGACCACGCAACTCACGTGACGTCATTCACTGTCCGTGGTGTTTTCATCTGCTCCAGTGACAGGAATGGTAGAATACTTAAGTGCATCGCTATTCTTACCGCTACACTTAGGAATACATTGAATATTTAGGGAAAGTTTTTGGAATTCTTTACAGAACGAAATTCCAAACGCACCAAAACACCAGGCAGCGACCCATTCGGCTACGTTCCCAGCGATCTCGATGGGTTTAATCATTGAAGTACGGCTGTCAAATCCACCGCAGACCAAGAATATTAACACATTCAATGAAAGAAGACTCGAAATGACTAGGCGCACCAAAAACATAGTTTTAGTGTTCACATTAAACTTGGTAAGCTGATAGGTGATAAAGGTCTGGGTCCAACAGTAGGCAGCACCGCTGACAAAAAGGAGCACAGCTCCAATTATATGCACAGCCGACAAGGGATTATCAACCTGGAAGATAGAAACATTTCCCGCTAAAAATCATGAGAAGCCCTACGAAAATTAATAAAAAACTAAATTTTAGTTAATAATGGTAACAGGACCGAGTGGAGTCTAATTCGGTCTGTAATCATAGGAGTGATTAACAAAATCGGATGACCGCGAAGCGGGAGTCCGATTTGTCAATCATGAGTATGATTACAGACAGAATTGGACGACACGAGGTCTTATTACTTCCTTATGGGTGCCAGACCCGCGGCAAAATTCTCCCCGACTCGTCTCAAATCTCCCGGGGGACGGAGAAACGCGAGTATTGCAGCGCATATAACGCCCCTTCCCTGAAAAAAAACTTGAAAATACAAACCAATTGCCAAATATTGATGTTGAAATAGTATGCTAATGATTATGCAAAGGACTGCAATACAAGTTATATCAGTATGCAAATTTGTCTACTATAACAAATATAACTGATCCTCGCAGCTATGAACACTACTGAACTAGTAGTTGAAATAAGACCTGAAGAAAATTCAGGTACGGGCCTGAAATTTGTTCAGGTCTTATTTCAACCACTAGTTCAGTAGTGTTCATAGCTGCGAGGATCGCTTATATTCGTTTCTTCACCGCAGGGCACATACATATTTTCAAATATTTACAGTCATTATCCTCTCTCATATCTCTTAATTAGTGCATGCGATGTAATTGGTCAATTTAATGTGATAGGCGTTTTAACCATGGAAAGCCATATTATATGCGTCATTCATTGGAGGAAATAATTTTGTGCATTTTGAATCTCAAATATTTCATGCTAGCTCCCTCCCCTCCCCTCCCCCACTCATTAATTCAGCCGGTTGAGGTTCGTTCAATTTCTGTTTGCAACGTCTACTAGACCGTCGATATTGTATATTGTCTACATCAGAGATATTCACGCTGATTTCTGTTATTTTCGTTCTGACAAAAAGCTTCCCTACAGATGCTAAAGACAAAGAATCGAAAATAATTAATATTCTTTGCTTTGAGGCCACTCTGTTTCGGTTTAATAGGAATCCTCTAGTGTTCTATACACACGCTGCAATCTGCTGGGCTTCGGTACTCGTAAACCTCTTCCTAGGTTGAGTTTGTCTCAAAGTAAAGATTTGGAGGCCTAGGAGATGTACACGAAAACAATTCAATTACTCGTTCTCGATTCCTCTGCGTGATATAATTATTCGCTCTTAGTATCTAATTGTTAGATATATTCTGCTGTGCCTTGTTTTGCCGCATCCCGAGCGGTATTTTGTAAACACGGGTCAGCGATTCGTCGAGTTTTATTCTTTCCTGTTTGTTGGTGAGAACCGGATTCTCCTGGAGGGCTTTTTAAATGACGGAGGGATACTGTTAATGCGTCAATTAAAATGCCTTCAAGAAATTAAAGCACTGCAACTATAAAGGTCACAGGGGAGAAATTTAGTCAAGATCTCTCTCATTGAGTGGTGAGAATTTCCAAAAGGTTCGGGTTGTGGGAAAAGATTAAACTTTGTTGGGTTAATCTACGAAAGGCACGCTTTTAATTGCTTTTCGTACTTGAAGGAACATAGCTGAAAAATTCTAAAAATTCAAAACATTGTTAAAGGAAAGCTTTTCACTCAGCCAAGATGAAATTTCTACAATTTTTAGAACCAATTGTGTAAAGAAACCAGAAACTAATGTTTTGAGGAGAACGATAGGTAAAGTTTCCGCATAGCCCCATACTAATGTAAATCAAATCTGTTTTTCCAATGGAAATGTATTATTTTTGTCATTGTTTTCTCTGTTCAAGAACTGAATGCATAATGTGGGATGGGGCTGTGCGGAAATTTTACCAACTATAGCCATTAGAAACCTTGGAAGCGGTCTCAAAGATAATGAACTTTGGAAAACCTAAAATTTTATACATTAGCACCTACGTGAAATGAATAAAAAGTGAGATTCGATCGGTGAAATGCTTTAAAACGAACCATTAAAATTGAGCACTAATCAACGACAAATTTGCTCTTTGTTTTTCTCTGTTTGAGGTGTGAATTCCACCTTATTAGAATACGATCCACTGAGAGAAGGAAACATTTTCGGCATTAAATCGATTATAAAGGAATTAGAATGTATTTGTTCTTTGAGTTATGTACTCTAAAAATTCTTTGCAACGACGTACGGTTTCTAGGCTACGCGAAGACAAAAAAAATTTTGAAAAAGTATGAAAGTGCTAGAAAGCATTTTCCCTTTCTTGATTTGGCGCTGAAACGCACACGTCAGAAAGAAACCAGAAACCTGTTCTTGTCTGGTCCTTCAAAGAATCAGTCTAAATTTCTCATATAGAACATATACAAAGTATAGCGAAGAAAATCCACAGCTTAAAAGAAAAACCCTTACTTTTTCATACTTAGTAGAGTGGCGAGTGACGCATGTAGAGGATCTGAACTACCAAACAAACCACTATAGAAAATTTAATTCATGCAAAAGTGATTATTAAGTGTTAACATAAACAGAACTTGAATATTTTTTCATTTTGTCATATTGTTCGCGCTTACGAGGCAGGTTCAATGTTAAAGAGGCGAAAGTATAATTGTAGAACCTGAAAATGCTTAGCCTTAGCCGTTTTGGACTCGATTCGCGGCCAAACGCAAAGAGACGAAACGAATAATTATGTCTGATTTCAGATGGCGCTTTGGTTTTCGTAATTACACCAATCTTTGTTGCGTAACTTAAGTTGCAGAAGGATTTTACTGATAAGAATGAAGTAAGGGATTTAATTATATCAAAGCCATAAAGAGAATCGTGGTAGAGGGGAAAAAATTGCTTTCTGAAGGAAAATTCGTAAATTGAAAGTGGTAATGTGTTAGAACGCGGCCAAGTGACTTTGATTTACATTAAGCGCGCTCGAACAGGCACAAATCAACAACTGTGGAAAATCATATTAAAGGAAGCTTAACGAAAAAAAAATATGTCTTCAGCGTTATGGCTGATTTTAGTAAGGATCTTATTAAGATAGTATTACCTCACGAGATCTGAAATTTGCGACAACAGACACTCCCAAGGCACTTCCGAGACCGAAGACGTTACTCAGTAAGTTGAGTTGTGATAGAGGAGACGATTTGCTGCCTTCTATCTCTCTATTGATCATTTTGACCTGGAAATATCGAACAGCCATCATGACCAGAGTTAGAATTGCCGTGGCATTGAAGAACTCGGCGAAAATTGCTCCTTCGGGGTCTTTGTATGTTGTGTCACTTATCGACGGAACAATGAACGAAACGTCTCCATTAGAGCGTGCGATGAAATACGACAGAATCAGAGCGATCGTGGCTACGGAAATCCACGCAATCACGAAACAGCCCAGGCCAGGTTTTGAACATTGCCCGTTTTCTTTCGGATCGCTCATTTTGTTCCAAGGATATCCTACGTGTTCACCGCCAAGCCATGGTTGATCAACTGAGGATTTTCGTGCGGTGCTCTCAAATAAACTCCTTCAGTGAAGCGGGGGTGGTATGCTAATTCAGGAGAAATCAATCAAAGGAAGCTTGAATAGACGCATTAGGTGACAGAATTACACCACATGTCAAATAGTAATCATGTCCAACACAAATCAATGGAAATGAAGCTGAATAGCCTTTTAACAAACAAATTCAATTCTCTTGGCGATAAATTGACAAACTTCGCAATATTTTTCCGTGGTAACAAAGGATTTACAACCGGTTCGTTGGCGTATAATTTCCGTTGCAGAGAAGCGCGTTGTTTCTAGAGAAGTGTTCTAACTTTAATTTTTGCTTGCCCTGCGACAAAAATTTCTGCTTTATTTGTCCGATCAAAAAGACTTTTTCCACCCGCTATAATCAGTTATGGTAACTCTTTTTGTAATGTAATTTTTGAACGTAGAAAGCTCAGAAAATCAGTGATGAATAACTTACGAATCAGATTTAAAAATTCAACGCCACGCACCGAAAACATTAGTGAGATGCCCATATTTTTGCTATATCCTAAACGTCTGATAACCTTCAACTGAATCAAATGACAACACAGATTTCACTCCCAATTTAAGCTTGCTGTTAAATTGAATTAAGCTTATGCAGATTATGTTTTAAAAACTGTTATCAATTTGTCGCTCAGTTGGATCCCGCTCATACTGAGGTTTTAAAGAATTTCAACGCATCAAGACCCATCAAGCTTCGAATAATTGTGTCGTGAAGATGAACACTTCGCTTTATCAACTACAGCCCAATCTCAAGAACTCCACTTCCCGCGGCAACCCCCAACCGTCGGTTGGTCGAAATTCCCGTTAACTCGCTCTATTTATTTCCCGTAATTTCGCCCTCGATAATTTAAACCTTGTTTGTCAATACATGACTACTCGATGAGAACATAGTAAAACCGCGATTCCAAAGAATCTTTACGGCTTAAGTCTTTTTCAGTGCCACATATTTTTCTAGCCACCTAACGCGAGCCCGCTGTTACACAAGAAGGAACAGCGGTGTAACGTAATAACGGTAAAGCGCGCGTGAAAACACTCAACTTTTTTTTAAACCAGCCACATATCTTTTGACACTAGAGCTCAAACAACGTGAAAAACACACATTGAATTATTAAGATCACCGAAAAATCACAAGGGGGATTTGATTCACCGAAATACCACATAAAAAAACTGGGTCACAGGGCAATGCTACTGAGGCAAACGTCCTACAAAAAATTTAGATGCGTTCCCCATTCAAAACGATAAGGAAAGGCCACGTTCGGAAAAAGTTGGTGAATATGCTTAAGAGCTAACGAAAATAAATGACGGGAACAGATACAAAAACATGTCCAAACGAGTCAACGAAAAGACCTGAAGCTACTAACGGTTAGTTCAGTCAAGTACGAAATGGGTCAAAGATAATTGTGCAGGGGTCCAATGACCAAGAAACCACAACCATGCAAGAAACTCCATTCCATTTATTCAGGAACAACATAAACAACGCACTGGTAAGATCATCGCGAAACGGAAATGTGGGGTTTGATATACCGAAACATGTACACCGCCAAAATCGTAACACAACTGATTAGTGAAAGTCGATGATACAAGGGCAAACAGCAAAATATCAGTTTCATTCTTTTTTTGCCTATAGTAGCCATTAGGTAGTTATGAATAATTTGCGAGTTGCAAGAGTATAACAGTTAATATTCTCTTGCTTTACTTGTATTTGCGGTGTAGCTTTTGATACATTTTATGTTGAACCTTGTGACATTTGATGGTAATAAGGTAAGATAATGGTAAGGTGAAATCCAAAAAAATGTGTTTTGTGGTGGTTTATAGTACAAGTGATTTGAATTTGGGTAGGGTACTAAATTCAAAGGTTAATTACAATGTGAAGTAGGTTAACTCGAATGGTTAGCATAAAACCATCAGCTCTTAACGACAGAAAATACTGAAAAATGTTGTATGCAGGAAATTCTCGTAGTAATAGCACGAGGTCAACAATTTTCCGGCTATGGTAACTACCAATGGCCGTACCACCCCTTTAATTTGCTGATATTCATACCAAGTTGGTATTATCAGCAACAAAAAAATACGTTTTGTTAATATAGTTATTTAGGTTAAGCCAATAATCCCCCCCAAAACGCAAGCTAAGAAAATTACACCTCCTAACAGTGGTGTGAACAGTTAATCTACCCGACAGGGTCTGTAAAAATTTTCACGAAAAGATAACTTTGCATGCTGAATTCGACTCGAAAATGACAATTTCAAAAGGGGGAGAGGAAATTGAACTTGCTTTTGAGTTAAAAAAGCGCGAAGTAAAATTTAAGGTGCGTTTTCAATAATTTGTGGCGATGTGTGGATTGTAACTTCCACGAGGGAGAAAAACAACACAAACTTAGTAGAAATGATTCTTAATTGTATGATTGCTGAGGCGAGATACTACCATTACTAATTTTCTTTAGTTAAAGACTAAATGCATCATAGTGGTAATCTCATTCTTGGCTAATTGCATTGGTTACATCGTATCCTGCAGTTTCTCTTGACCGCGTTATACCTGCAGAAGCGTTCTGGCCACCGCTGGCAAGACGTCCATCTGTCTTGACAAACCGCTATACAGGAAATGAAGACAAAGAGGTTAGTTGCCGAAAAAAGAGTTTAAAATTCGACTTTGATGAATCATTGTTTCAACAGAAGTAAAGTAATTTTTTGGTTGCGGTGTGGTATACACTAAAAAAGTTGTTCATCTTAGTGTTGGTAAATGGGACAGAAATTGTCAGAAACGGAGCAACAGATGCCGGACAGGACAACAAAACGTTGTCAATGTAGTTTTCAGCATACCATTCACTTATCACTTGTCGTTCCTTTTAATCAACTGAAATCAAAGACTGCGCAATTGTTTGTTTTTCTGATGGCCTTAGCAACTTGAAAAATATTATCCATGCGTTTTTTAACCGTCAAAGAGACCTGTTTTTAATAAAATTTTAAAACAGGCAAAAACTAGAAGGCGAAATCCTCCAAAGAAACTAAAATTTAATCACAAACAACGAGATTAATGACCGGTAATTAGAGAAATAATAAACTAGTAACTATGATGCGTCACAAACATTCTCCATTTCTCCTTACCCGCTCTCTTTGCACATTCACTTCGGTACAAAAGGTTCGCTTGCCGAGCATCAATTGAACTTAAACCGTTCCTCTGGCCAATGACATTGTTAAACTGGAAAATATGATACACAAACGTCACAATAATCACCGAGTTACAAATGATGGAAGTTTAAGCGTTGTGAAATATCCTAAGGACCATGCAGCTGCGAAGAAGACGTACTATGAGATTCAAAGATAACAACAACTTGCTTTCAAAATAATTCTAGAGTTACAGAAGAAATCAAACTATACGAAAAACCGAATAAATATGAACGCTATTAAAGTCTATAAATGTGTACTGCAAAATTATATTCTCCCACTGCAAATTTTTTGTGCGAAGAAAAAGACCAATTGCTCATCGACAGATGCGGGTCCAATACAATGACTAATCAGAAAATATCGGTGAGACTGGAGCAAGTTGATAACATAAGGGATTACTTTAGGCAATAGGTGTCCTGGGGCCATTCCTAGCGAGGGTCCCTGTAACCTTACGGACCCGAAGAACTTATCGTTTGCCATGTTTTCACTCACGATCGAGATGAAAACGGGTTCGAATTGAAACAATGGAAATATCGGTGAGTGAAATAGAATGGAGTGGTCTATGAGGTGTGACCCTCTCTATTTAAACTCCATAGATCTAAATCTTAGTCCAAAGAGCATGACGGGACTTCGAGAAACGAGCCCTCTGTCAATAGGAAGCTGAAAATGGTTCACTACACTGCAGACTGAGTCTCCTCCAGGTATAGTGGCAGGAAAGTTGCGTAAATTTGCCCCATTTTTTAGCTTAAAAGCAAAAAAACATGAAAAAAGAACATGATTTTGGTTGCCACAATAACACACCCTACTGTCTTTGGTTACTATGGTTCGACGTCCGTTCCTACTGAACGCTGTGCCACTGTAGTGCATCACGCTTTCATAATCGTAAGGGGTGCCGAGAGAATCAATCCTTGACCTTGGGTACTTATTGAAATTACTCTCTCTGCCTGCAATAAATTAAAATTAAATATTACAGTTATATTTTTTAATTGAAATATTTTCAGTGGCTGATCACATAAAAATGCTTCAAAATAAATTTAGAATTTTGGATTAGAGTACAGTTAACTTTTGTTTTAACTTTCTCGGTATTAATAATAGGATTCACTTAGTCAAGGGTAAAATATAAAAATAACCTTAGAGGAAACGAAAATTGCTTCCAATAAGCGACAAGTGTAGCTATCAACAACTGTTTTACGAAAATCTACGGGAAATAGATAGCTCGTGCGAGTTCTTTTGACTGATTGTACGTTTTCAAAACTAGACTGAGAGGAGAAATTTAAGAATGAAGAGCTATCCCATAAAGGTTTTTTTTTTTTTAAATACATTGAATATAAATTTACTCTCATCGCATTTACTCTGTTTAGTACAGTTTTGAAAGTACAAAATGTGAGATGAAAGAAAACACAAGAGTAATTCTACCAGGACTGAACTAGATCTACAAAATCACACCAAGCCTCACCTGGTATTACATTTTGCAGCTGAACAATGACAAACTGGTCTCTATCAGGACGAGACTGTTCATGAAAGAATCCAATGGCATGGCCTGCGAAAAATCAATAAGACGCTTGATTTTTTTGCCATTCACACACATGATATCATGTCGGTAGCTTATGATCCATGCTACTTCTTCCAAACTTAAATCAAGATATTGAAAATTTTCAATATTCAGATTTTATGAAATGGTCCCAAGTTCTGATATAAAGAGTTTTTCTAGAATTTTGCGAAGTCTTTAGAAATATCAGTCGAAGACGTCCTTAAACGCTTATATGAAATAACATTTCTAAAATATATACAAATAAAAATAAAAACAGATCTTAACAAAAAAAGGGAAAAATGTAAAAGAAAAACAGCACGAGAAGCAACCAGTAAACACCCCGAGCAGACAAAACGATAAACTTAAAACACAAGGAAAATAATAATAATAATAATAATAATAATAATAAAAGGAATGAATAAACAGACACAAGACCAAATAATTTACCGATTTCATGGGCAACAATTCCTTGAGTCCAGCATCCGGCTGATCCAAGGTTGATAACTTGACTGTTTCCAGTTCTACCCACATATGACCAGCACCCTGCGCTGTAAAATAGATTGACATCACGAGAAGGCATTTGAAATAATTTACACAGTATGATGTTCTTTTTATGAAAAAAGTACCGGAATGTCGCTCTCTTTCAGTTGATTATAAGGGGGACCTTACGCAATCATGACATGTACCTAATTTTTTGTCGGGTTTCTCACGTCGTTGTTTGGCGGAGAACAACCAAGAAATGTATTAGGTTTTAAAACGCACGCACAGAGCTATTTTCCGTCTCATAAAAGTTTTTGGTTCTCGTTGCAATCGCCGTCATTGCTTTGCATAAGATTTCCTAGTAGCGGAGCGCGCGCAACGTAGCCCCATAAGCAAGATAATAACTAAGGTAGACCATAACGACAAGAAAACTTGATTACTATGTCTTGTCCACCCATCGGTACCATTGTTTTGTTTCTGTCCTGCCCGTTGAATATATTGAATATATCAAATTTCGTTATCCAATTTTTTCAATTTTGTTCAAACACTGTTTTCAACTTTGAATCACTAAGGTTTTTTTTGGAACAAATTACGCTAATAGTATCTTACCTGCCGCTAGCAAAGTTGACGTAAGCTCTTTCATTTGTTCGCTTCTTAAAACGGATGCATGTCTTTTTTGTCCATTCATTCATACCTGCATTTATGGCAGCCCTGGCCTGCCCTCTAGCTGTATAAAAAAATCACAGACTAGGAGGTTAGTTTCAATCTCTTGAAACAAGCACACTTAACTATACCTTTTTTGCAAATCGTGGACCAGATCTTTGGTGCATTAGAGGGCAAAAAATTGCGATTATTTGCAGATTTTTAAAGATAACAAATTTTATTCACCAAGGCTATTATCGATTACGTATGGGACTTCTCCTGACGGCCATAGTCTGCTTCTGACCGAACCTCTTTTGCGGGAGCTGTCAACATCCATTCCGTGCTCGGCTCTATAGAGGACATCCGCAGGAAGGATCATATCCCCCTCGAATAAATCGTTCTCGTCGACACCCAAATTTTCTATGATAAAAAATTGAACACAGACGATGAATCAATCAATTAATACTGAACTTAATTATTCATTCAGTAAGTCGATCTCTATTTCTTTCGGTCAAATAATAAATCATGCAATGAAGAAATTAAGTGTCATTATACTAGTTAACTAATTAATTGTTAAGAAAAAGAACAACAACAGCAAAACAAATAACTTCCATTCTGCTTGATCCTACTAACTAGTCGCAGGAACAGAAGGCCTATATTTCCAACCTTTTCGTGGTGGCCTACATTTTAATAACAAACAAAGGGGTGGCAAGTTCTGTTTTATAAAATAACAGCTACACTTCTATGTAACGCATAAAAGCGATTTGGTGTGAAGCAAAGCGAAAATCACGGCTATCACCAGTAGAATCAGATATACTTTTAATCATAATAGTGTCAAAGATTCTGTTTTATTCTAAGACAATCGAAGTCTTAGAAAGTGCTCTCACTTAGCAATTATCACCCAAAGTGCCCAAACAATCAAGCTGCAAATCGATTAGTTTCCTTTGATTAGTTTCCTTCGGCGTACCAATTTAGTTGCATAAAAAAAACTGTGATAGCTAGAAAAATCGTTGATCAGAAAACAACAGATGCTAAATGGAAAGTTCAAAAAGGGAAGAGAGCGCAAAACTCCGAGTGTTAGCTTAAACAACTATGGTCTTCTTTGGCATTATTACGAGGAATTATCGAACAACCTTACCATCAGGATTTTCCGATGCAACGAAGACTGTTGTCATCAACAGGAGGAAGCACAAGCACTTCATGGTTCTTGTTTTCTTAATTCTTGTTCTCTTAAGTTTCGTTTCTAGTGAAGACTTAAGCAGTAAGCTTATGCTCCACGTGGGAAAGCTGCCTCTTATAGTTCATTGCTCGATGATCCAATATGTATTTGCTGAATTTGGTCTGTTAAAATTGCAGCTTAACTTTTGTATAAATTAGGTTATCTGGCAGTTTCTATTCCAATATACTGAGGGAAATTTTCTGTGTGCATCATACACCAAACCATGCAACATATTGTTTTTTTCCTTGTGTAAGTTGGGCCTCTTCCTTCCGCGGTGACGTAAGAAGGAAATCATATCACCATCTTTGGGAAAACACCTCTTCTGGTAACGTCAAGAGTTGCAATATTGCAAGACCTTGTCAAATATCACTTCTTGTTGTTGCTACTATTAGAAGGGCTATATCAGCAATGTTTCCACAATTATCGATCGACTATATTTGTACCAATGGCGATCCGTCCGTCTGCCTTGATAAATATGCAAATATGAGTCATTTCAAGACGTTGTATTAACTGTTCTTTGGAGTGACGATCATCTTCGCGCCACTCAGTGTCACTGACCGATCGACTCGCATCAATCCAACTGCACCAGCAATATACCGACGTCATCTCCGTCACTTTACTCCATTTTAGCCGCACTTCAAATAACCCAAATTAAACTACTTAGTCGAAACCATGCCTTACATAGCCATACAAGGCATCCAAGATTAAGGCAGCGCTGTCTTTACCTAAATTTGTCTTCCTTTGGTTGTAGAAGTGATAAAAAAGCGTACACTACATCATGGAAAACTTTGACTATATTGTTCATTTCTCCCTTTATTTTTTAGATTTTTTAAAATTATTAGCAGAGACTGTACTATGATCCTGTAGTGTTATTTTTTTTCTTTGCTAGTATTTAATTTATGCGATCGTTTTGGTTTTGGTTTTCTAATCTACTCAATATTCTTTAGTCGACGAACCTACAATAATTACCTTGTTTTGCTCTAAATGATATTAAGAATGTACTACGACAAAATTAAAATACCCACATAACTACCTTTATGATAATTGTTTTGAATGTTTTACCAGAACTATGTATGTACATTATGGTAGAATCGACCCAGTGAACACATTTGGGAACTAAGTGACATATTCTACGTATGTATTAAGGGTGGCTATTTTGGGAATACCCTGTATTTTAACTGCTCAATCTTGACCACAAACATTCATTTTCCACGTAATGAAAGCAGAACCACACGTTTTCTCGACGGTATAAAGTTTACGATTTTGTCGGAAGTTAATATCAAGCTCAGATCTTATCGCCATCGTATGAAATCTCTTTTATGATGGTAATGCACTGAAAGCAGAAATATAATTCCAATATCTCTATAGTCTCTTTCGTTCAAAAATGATATGATGCGTTTAGTTTTATCAAAAATACATCTTCACATAGGCGGCTTAATGCGTTTTGTTTTGGAGTTGAGTTCTGACCGGGTTTGTCCTTTTAAATAACACTACTTTTGCGCATGGAATTCTTTATATGCATCTTAGGGTCAGTCTCGATCCAGATAATTAATCAGTGCATCATTTTTTTTTTTAACATTTAATTCTTTTTAATTTAATTTAGCAAAAATGACGACTACAAAGAAGAAGAATCATCACACCATGGTTAAATATATATATGTTATTTGTCGGCAGGGAGGTCCGTATGGTGAAAAACTGTGAC